CAATAGTATGTGTTAGTCTGTAAATTAAGTCTGGCAACGAAGCGTTCGATCTGGCAACACTGGAGGCGCCGGGCTTGTAGGGGGATGTTGGAACTTGTGATCCGCCTTCAGTATGAACTCGCTCGAGTCATATGGTTGTCCGTAGTGATTTTTTTTTGTGAAAACGTTTTTTCTATTGTGTTCTAAAAATGGGTGACATCAATTTCAAGCAACGGTGTGCTATCAGGTTTTGCTTCACACTTGGGCACAGTGCAACGGCTACGTGCTAAACAGGGCTACGTCGATAGTGTTTTGTCAAAAGCCCAGGTTTTTCGGTGGTTTAAGGCATTTTCAGAAGGAAGAGAGTCCATTGAAGATGACGCACGAAGCGGAAGGCCTTCATCTTCAAGAACATGAACGACGAAGCGGAAAGTCTTTATCTTGAAGAACCGATGAAAACATCGACAGAATCCAGGATCTCGTGCGTTCTGATCATCCGTGGGCAGTCAGAATTATCGAGGGAGAGTTAAATTTGACTCACACCACCGTTCATCAGATCAAGAACAACTGAGTGTTGTATCACGATAATGCTCCTTGTCACAAAGCAATGTCAACAAACGAGTTTTTGGACTGTAAAAGCATTCCTGTTGCTCTTCAGCCGCCTTATTCACCCAGCTTGAGACTTAATGAATTTCTAATTTTCCCGAAGTTGAAAAAAACGCCTCAAGGGAGCTCATTTTTGGGACAATCGAAAACATTCAAAAGGCTGTAACCGACCAGCTGAAAGCTCAGTATCGGAGTCCCAGCACTGCTATGAGGAGTGGAAGTACCATCTCCAACGCTGCGTGGCTTCAGAAGAAAGTTATTTTGAGGGAGACAATATAAGCTTGTGATTATATTTGATTACTTTGTTCTTTAAATCAGTCTCATCACTTAATTTACAGATCTCGAATGCTTAAAGACGTATGATGAAGATCCCTGTTGGATTTAACTTAGTTACTTAAAAAAACAAGACTTTAATTTGTATGCACAAGACAGTCTTTTGGCTTCTCTGATCTCCATAGAAAGCAATTAAACGATAACGGAATTCTTGATTGCTGAGTTTAACATGGCACGTCCTAAATGTCAAAACATCCATCACACCCAAAAGAATACTGTTGTCAGAACGCAAAAGGATAGTATATGCGTAGTACTCAACTTTAGCTGTCCATTGCTCTCATTGGCCCATCACACTATTTGACTGACACTTGAATGAAAAGCCTAACAGTAACTCGGATTACATAGCCACAATAAGTCTTTGTTTACTTTAACACACGCATTCTCACACTGTCAGATTCCCACTTTATGGGTATTAGCATTTTTATAGCTGCAATGCAAATGCAATAGATTTTTGAACAAACGATTCTGGTAAAGTGAGAAAAAACGATATTGGTCGGAAATTTTCAAGCTACAAAATAATCTGAGGACACATACTACGACAAAAGCCATCAATAATGCTAAAAATATAATTGAAAAAACTAACGTAATTTTTGTAGTAACTATACTAAGTGACATATAAATCCGAACACCCAGTTTAAATGGTTTTATTTTAATAAAAGTTGGTGAATGTATTTATCTTACTGTAAATAACAAGTAAAAAAATTTTCAGCCTTATCAGTTGGACATTCCGGTTTTTATACTGCTTTTTTTTAATTCACTAACGCTCTAAAAACGAATATTTCAACCGCAGTAAAGAATCAACGTTGGCGGATTTTGGTTCTTGACATCCTTTACGACCGGTTACGATGCCTAGAGTACGGAGACCTGTACGATTTCGTCAACTTAGTGAGTTTGATAGGGGCCGTATAGTGGGACTTCGGGAACCTGGACTTTCTTTTCGGGCAATTGCAGTTAGAGTGCAAAGAAGTGTAGACACTGTGGTTAGGTGTTGTCAGGCATGGCTTCGAGAAGGCCCTACGCAAAGAGCAAAGGGCACTGGACGCCGCCGTAGAACAACAGACCGTGAAGATCGCCGCCTAAGATTATTGGCCTTAAGGGACCGTTTCTCCACTACCAGGTCCATTGCAAATGAATGGTTTGCAGAACACGGAAGACCTATTGGCATGCGAAGTGTTTACTGACGAATGAGAAGTTTTGGCTTGTTTTGATACCGGTCACACTGGGTCCTCCCTTTAACTCGAGAACACCGACGTAATCGCCTTGAGTGGTGCAGACAACGGTCACTCTGGGATCAGGAATGGAACAGTATTGTCTTTAGTGACGAGTCTCGATTTTGTTTAGGCATACACGATGGTCGTGCCAGGGTTAGAAGGCGACGTGGTGAAAGGAGGAATCTACAGTTTTTTGTTGAAAGACATGTTCATCACACTGTTGGAGTTATGGTTTGGGGTGCTATAGCTTATGGTTCCAGGTCACCTTTAATCTTCATCAGAGGTAACATGAACGCCCAGCGTTATATCCACGAAGTTCTAGAACCCCATCTTGACACCCTGGCAGATCCAACTTTCCAACAAGATAATGCCCGACCACATGTTGCAAGAGTCACAATAGACTTCTTTCAACATAATGATGTCACATTGTTACCATGGCCACCAAGATCTCCCGACTCATCCCCAATTGAGCACGTGTGGGATATGATGGGTAGGAGATTGCTCAATTTGCAACGTCCTCCTCAGACTCTAGAAACACTTCGAGATGAGATGGTGGTTGCCTGGAATGAGATACCACAGGAGGACATTGACCACCTGATCAGAAGCATGCCTAGGCGCGTTGGAGAATGCGTAGCACATCAGGGTGCATCCACACATTATTAAAGGTCAAAGGGCTTTAAAGCAGTGCAATCATTTTGAAATTTTTATCATTTACTTATTATGCTTCATTAAGTACTTATACAAAATTTTATTAAAATAAAACCATTTAAACTGGGTGTTCGGATTTATATGTCACTTAGTATATAAACTAAGGATCAATTTGATTGATTATGTTTTAAAGGAAAATTTACTGACTGGTAATAATTTGAGCTAGAATTCTATGTAGGTAATGCTGCAGTATTTTAGTAGTTAGTATAATTTCTATTATAATTCGACCATTGGACAAACATAAAGCATGTCAATAAAAGGATTTTTTGTCTATTACATGCATGACAACAAACCGAAATGGTAAAGCATCCATTTTTTGTTTGTATTATTATGTGGTTTGATTTTATACGCTAACAGCAAAATTCTATAATAAAGACATCTCTACCCAATAAGAAATATATTCATTGAGCAGAAAAAAGTGTTTATGATTTTTTTACCCCGAAGAAGCTGCGCTAGCAGACGTCAAAATGCCATGACACTGCGGCTGCTATGAGGAGCTTAAAAAAACATTAATCCGATTTTAGAACTGCCTGGGAAAAGCCTCCTCATGTAAATTGTTTCACAATCTCGATACCCTAGGGACAAAGAAGCGATCGAATCGGCCTTTAGATGAACGAAGTTCGACAAGGTTAGGATGGGAGGCCAAAGTCAGGCTGATCTATCTAGCAGGCACATCACGCGGAGGCATCATGGAGGAGAACTCTGAGAAGCAAAGCCCGTTGGCGTAGCAGTAGAAGAGAGCTAGATGACCGACGGCCTGTTGGTGCTAAAGTCGGATAGCCCGCCTCTGAACAGCATCGAGCATTGATAATGCAGTCGAAGCGGCAGTACCCCCAACATGTGAGCAGTTTTCGAGACTAGGTCTTATCCGGGCCTTGTGCAGAGTAAGGAGGTCATATTTATGGAGAAAGGTACTTCTTAGCCCTAAACTAAGAGCCCAGCTTTTGCCCAACAGCTGCCGCTAATGACGACATGTGTTCGTGCCAGATCAAATCCTCGGTGGTCCGGAGCGTTAGGACGCTTCTTGTTAGTCAAGGTAAAGAACTGTGTGTTGGAAACATTAGACTGTACAATACGGTTAGGTCCCCAAGCAGTGATAACCTGCAGGTGTCTCGTCAGAGAGTAGGCCGACTTCTTTTCTCCAGCTCACCGGTAGAGATCGGCTTCTAACTCTAATTCATGCATGTAAAGTGCTGTCATCTGATGACATGAGCCTCATCATAAGGCTGTATGAGTTTACTCCACATAAAGGAGTTGTAGCACCAGTTCACGTAGAAGTGGAAGTTGAAAATCCAGTAGTAGTATCACAGCCACTGCCAGAATTAATATTTACGACCGAAATATAAGAAGAATCTACCCGATTTTTAATGAAACCTTAATTTGTAGAGAGCAATACGCATAGACATGGGTAGTATTTGACCACGCATGATGAGTTGTATCTAAAACATATTATTATGGTTCCAAAAACATTAAATTGTTTCCAAGTCATCATTTTCTCGAATTATGTACGCAACAGAAGATAATTGTTTTTCAAATTATATACTGCTCCTAGTATAATCCAAAGGATGACAATATAATTCTTAGGTGAACCTTGATGTGCTTAGACAATTTACAAGCAGTGGTAACCTCAGGATAGTAACAAAATTCTAGCTTTGATTGTCCCGTTGCGTCGTTCTGATTTGATTTGGAGTTACGTCCCAATGAATGAATATCCTTTCCAGAATAGTGGTTGAACTAAAAAAGTTAAACCATAGAGCTTGAATAAGATGAGTCACAACGAGTACCAAATTTAATGTTCTTACTACATATGATGGAAAATATAAGTTGAAAGACTGGGTTATTGATGCAGATTAGATAGTATGTTGTTCTTGGATCAAGAAAGAAATTAATGTAAGTATACTTGGTAAAACTAAATTTGCGACGTTTGGAATATAAAGCCAAATGAATATTTAATTTTTAGTAAAACTTCACATTGGGATATAGTTCAATCACGGCGATAAAAACTGCAAAGCATTTTACACAGTTTTAACAGCTTTAAGTATAAAGTGTTTCAAATATGAATTGAGCAAAAAAAACGAGTGCCAAACCCCTCAAATAGATGAACGAGTTTTTCAAGTAATTAGACATTATAGTTAATACGATTTTTCAAACGCAATTACTCAACAGTTGGATTCCTGGTAACCAAAAACACAATTAATAAATGTCACCACAAACTCTAAAACACCATTTCACATGATAAACAGCCGGAGACCGCGATCAATTATCGAAAAAAAAAACATCAACACGAGCAGTATATTTTTTTAAGCGATAGTAAAAAGCTTCATACGCACGTAGTATTTCGTATCGTAAAAGCGCGAAGACTGACGCGACGTCCGTCCCCGCTTACGCGCTTCCAACGAGCGCTCACCGTAGACTGATTGACTGCCTGACTGCTACAAGGTGGGAAACCTAGCTACCATTCTGACTCGTATTAGTCTAGTCATCCAGGGATGTAACTGCCCAGACCTAGTCAAAACAAGCCAAAATATGACAATACATAACAGTGATATTTGACTGCCGACTGTCTACAAGGTGTGAAGGCTACCTACCGTTCCAACTCAACAGATTGGTGCAAGATCAACATAGCTACATTGCATTTCTGGAAATGTGGTAACAGTTTTCTGTATTGTGCCATTGTCGCAAAGCTTTTCAGGTAATTACGCCAACGGCTGTTGTTTATTTGAGGTTTATTTCCGTTCTTTTTGCCTCAATATTAGCATTGCAATTTTAAAAAAACTTTGAGGTGTCCTTTTAAGCATTTTGCTAAAATGCCGAAACCTCTGGGTCGACAAGCAAAGAATTCGTCATTTCTTTGACGAAATATTTTGAGACCGAACAAGTTCGTGCCGCTCCATTATTGCCTCAAAGTCCGTAAGAGAGGTATTAGGTAGTAAATAGAATTTATACTGGCTCTAGTGTTTACAAAACATATGGTTGCAGCAAGGCAGATTTTGTAAAACGTCCAGGATCTAGTAGTTTTAATTAATGTGGCAACCATGTGCGTCACTGTCGTTATTTGACGTTGTGACGTAACTGCTTTGATTCCGTGAATAAACTCTGTAGCTGAGAGGAAAACAAAAGTAAGTCCAAAACTCAAAGTTTCGAGTAATGAGCAAAAGAAGTAAACATTTCAGCAAAGTTTAAATGGAAATATTAGATTTTCAAAATTGAATACACTGACTACCAACATTACGTTGGTTATGATTGTTTGCTATAATATAAAGCTGAACTAGTGCACCAAAACAGGCCAGAATATGACAAGACAGTGGTATTCATGTCTTATACGTACTGTCTGGTTAAATGTTAGTATAATGGCAAGATGAGGCTAGACGGGCAGCCGCATTGCAACTACATCATTCAGTTATAAATCCAAAGAGGTTTGACGAGTAGAGGGTGGCTTGTCAAAAAGGTCTCCCTCCCCCAACTTATTTTTGAATGGGCTATGTTAACAAGCTGAGATCCGGGATGATGAAATGGATACTATATTTTAACTTAAAGGTGATACTTGAAAATTTCAAAACGACACATCATCAAGTTATTAATTAGTATTTTAAAACCCCAGAGTATAAATGAACTATCTTCCAAAATGGAGGACGTTTTTCTACATTGAATCGCTTATAACTACCAAAACACCATAGTATGTTATATCAAATCTTCTTTTTTTGGAATGGTCTATCTGAAAATATGAGATATTCATTTAAAAAAATAGGAAGTGTTGGACATGTTTTTAAAAGTTATGTTCCATATTTTATTACATAGTCGGACAGATCATTACGAGTGAAGAGCATTCACATAACATACTATAGCATTTCGATTATCGATTTTTGACTTCAAGTTATTGATTCCATTCCATTTACAAAGATGTCCCAAGATGACAGTTTGCCGAGTAGCTTTATAGCTCTTGGTTTGCCGGTACACATCTTATTTTTGATAAATCGCCACATAAAATCTTTGACCGTTCTTAGAAGCCAGATAATATCGACTAATAGGGAAATCAAGCCCCTTCTGGCACTGCCGAGTTTTACCGCAAGGCCTTGTGGCTCCTAAATCTTCACAAATTAACCTGCAGTTAACCTGGTTTCAGCAAATCAGAGCAACATGTCGCATAGCTAGAGAAACGATGATTGTTTTGAAAAAACGTTTTTACAGCGTTTGATCCGCCTATGAAGTGATGTCATATGACTCCCGATTTTAACTGCACCAAGCATCATTTTGCATGGATTTCTATAAAGTAAGGTTTATGCTGACAAACCAAGCAGAGCTGCTGAAAAAGAATATTCATTAGTCTACCAAAAAGTCATACAAAATGTAATCAAGAGAGCGTAGGATTGTGCGGTTTTCAAAAAAGACTATCTATATATTATGATCATTTTTCATACATAACTCCCAAGTCTCCATGAAAGATTGACATAAAAAATTAGGTCTATTATATTTCAATCTACAGATATACTATGTGTATCACCAGTTGTAGATGTGGAAGACGTCGTCGCTACTAACTACATTGATGATCGTTACATAGAAGAAGAGACTCTGGATGCATCTAATCTTTTGATCTTAGAAACTTGAATAACTTCCTTCAGTCTATCCTGTCGCAGTAGTCGGTCAAGTTAAAAGCAGGTACCATTTTGATTTTGAAGAAACTTTATGACTCCTATGCCAAGCACAAAAAATCTTGGTGGGTTTTGAAAGCATTTCTAGTGGCGGCGAATTTATGGGTAAAAAAACAAATATGATCGAAGCACGTCAAACTTCTTTTTTGTACGTTTCTCGTTGCGCTGATAATTTTTGGACGTAGTTAAAATGCATTTATATAATTAGATCACAAACTTCCTTTGCCTACCTCTCTTTGCGTTCTGATCATTTAAGACGAAGTCCAAACACATTTTAAGCAGCTTAAACTAGAAAACTCTTATCTTTCAGATAATTATTTCATAAAATTGTTTGTTCATTTCATATTAACATAAATAGAAGACACACCTGATAGAAACTCGTGATAAAATTTGCCTAATAGCGTAAACATTTCTATAAACCTTCTTTTAAAAAAAATATATTACGTAAAATCCAATGGTGGTGAGCGCAGTAATAATTTAACTTCTACTGATGTTTCAAAATAAATTGGGCCATGCGGACTGGACTATATTACACGGTAAAATCATTATCACCTAGAGAGGGAAGAAGGAATAGAGGATCAGTTTAATGGGCGATGGGCTCTATCATAAATCTGTGGTAATGGGTCGTCTTCGCTTAAGGGTGGAAATTGCAGATGTAATTCGGGCGTGAACGTCTAGAGGACCAGAACAGGGATTAGCATAAATTTTATACAAAAACTTGATATTCTGTATCGAACAGTTTCTGACGACGCTCCAAAGTGTCAAGAAACTTGACAGAATAATAAAAAAATAAATACGGTATATAGAGTATACTACTTTATAAATTCTGCCAAGAGATCATATATTCGTAAAGTTAACATTTTTTTTTATACTCCAACTACCACGAAGGACTAAGCACCCATTGGGTACCGTGGGGCTATAGGGGGAATGCGACACGGACTCTGGCGAGGGAACACGTGTGCATGCAACATGCACACATTCTGGTTCCGCCTTCGAGATGGTACCTCCGAGTTCGACAGTCAGAGACCGTCTACCACCTACGGACAATCACAACATCCATAGCCAAGAGAAAAATTTCTCCTGGAACGGGACTCGAACCCGCACAGCGCACGGCGACTGATCAGGAGACCGACTGCGGCCACCGCTGCTGCCTGCCTACATGTCTTTAACTCAAAATAATGTTTTGTATAGCTCGTCTTTGATTGGAATTGATATAACAATGCCTTCCGTTTAGAAGCACCCTGTATATGACTAATGTACCGGCGCACCTATTGCTACTGAATTACAGATTTGTTTACCCTAACAATTTGGTCGATGTCTCGTTCCCACACTATTCCCATGTGTTTGTCTGACACTAACAAACACCTATCAATTTACCCTATTCTCCCCTAAAGCTCATTTACTTCATTGTATTTTTCCGATATTCCCTCCCTTCCATTAATATATTGAGGAAATTTGCGGAATGACGTAAACAAAATTCAGACAACGATCGAATAACTAGTGTGCTTAAACAAATCGTTAAAGAATATTATTTTAACTGTCTTTTTAAGGATGCAAACTCCTAAATGTCACAAAGTGGATACTCCCTATCTACAAAAATTGCATATTTCATAGCCGAAATCGATTGTTTAGATCTGTTCTTCGAGGATGATGTAGTTTATCCTCGTTCTCTTCCATGTGTGTTGGAAAAAAGTATCGCTGAAGTGGACATGTTTTTCAAACCGTACGATAATTTAATACACGAGTTTTAAGTTTTTTCAATAGAAAGTTTGCCTTTAGCAGTGAGATCAGGCCAGTATATAAGTTCACCATATAACAAAGAAGACAACATCAACGAATCGCACAGATTCAGGTGGACTTCATTAGAGAGAACATTCTTGTGAACATAAAAAGTCCTTAATTTAGCAAGAGCTTTCTGTAAGAGATGCAAAACAAATTTAAGATCGATATGAAGTTCCAGATTTTTGCACTGGATAATAATACAGTATTATAGATTCTAAAATTCTGGTTGTCAGTAATTCCACACGGTCTTGATACAAAATTATTTCACTTTTATTTTTATTTAACACAACGCTCGTATATACCTAATCCGCAAGATCAGAGTTGATACGAATTTAGGTAATTTTTCTCGAATATGTCAGGAGACTAACCGCCGCGGAAGAAGTAGTCACATTCTAAGGGCAGAACGTGAAAGAACTAAAGTTGTGCTAGAACTTACTGTATTTACATTTTTTATGTTCGAAGTTTGGAGAGCAAGTTTTCCCATTTCCCGTCGATAGGAAAAAGTGAAAATACATGATGTACTTTTTGCAGGCAAAATTCTGATACGTCAAAGAACAAAATTACTTTTCAAAACTCGCTGTGTAATGCCAAAGGCGGGAAAGAGATAATAAAAACAGCTAGGAAAACAGACATGACCTTTGTTGGAAACAATGACGCATATACTGAAAGGATATTGAAGGCTAGTAACCAGACCAAACTTTTAAAAACTTTGAAGTTTATTTTCATTCTTATAGCGCCATCAAAAGGTAATTGAAAATAGTTTTAATCTCATCACAGAAACTATTGAGTCATTTCGCATGACTCCAATTTTGTGCGTAATTTTCAAAGGTTTCTAGGCGTTCTCCGTACTTGTCAGGATGTAGTTAAGATATGAAATAGCTATACCATATACCATGTATGATGTAGTTAAGGAATGAAATAGCTATTGGTCGTCATGACATGACCAATTTCGTAGGTAAACCTTGGCCAT